AAAGATGAAAGTCAGTGAAAGCTTTGAAACAAAGAACAGGCGTGCATAGATAGTGGTCCTGTGGCTCGCCTGATTTCAGGGTGGATATTGAAACACGGAACACAATTTTTCAAGGTTCTAGCTGCCTTGGCGCGTCCATCAGTTGCTGAAGCCCTTTGGAAAACATGAGAACCTATTTCCAACAGTGATGGATTCCCTTTAAACCAATTTCTGCAGGCTCTTGTTGCCTCCATCTCAAACCAGAGCTCATAAGACTAGAGAAGACTTGTAAATCCCGAATCCTAAACAGGGATCCGGATGCATCATACACCTGAACATTGCCTTGTAAATGGTGTTTTCCATTTATCTTGGTGTTGAAAAAGCCACATGTTTCAAATGGTTGCAAAATGTGCCCTGCTAAACAGCATGTCATGTTAAAAGAAAGAAAGCTTCTAGCCTTGGTCGAACATCTGTAGCTCACAGCTCTTGGAAACGAGGCGACATGGGAGGGAGGCTCAAAATGGAACGACTCCACCAAGAACCTAAGGCCAACCACCCCTTGGCGACTCTTTTTCTTTTTTGGAAACAAGCCAGGGGCGCCTCAAAAATGTTTTTTTTTTTGAAGATGCGTTAACAAATCAAACCTCGAACGTGACCACATCCTAATGGAAACTCCGGATTCATAAAGCCCTGGTTGATTTTGAGTGGGGGGTGTCCCCTTTTAGTGGGGATTCAGACCCCTTTTGGAGGAGTTTTCACCCCTGATAATGGGACAACATTAACAGAGATGTATTACAACATTATTACTTTTTTACTCGCATAACATTAAACAGGGTTTATTATTAATCCGGAGTGAATGTATCCAAATTTCTGGTTGATATGAATCCTGGGGGTGAAACCCCTCCAAACGTGGTCTCTGAATCCCCACTAAAAGGGGACACCTCCCCCACTCAAAATCAACCAGGCCCGCGCCCACCCGCCTCCGAGCTGGCGAAGCGCTGGTCTTGCGCCGCGCGGGCCTGGCACCAAAAAGACAAAACAAAGGGACCTCCGAGTAGCAAGCGCGGACCACGTGAACTGCGGAGAGTACAGACAAGCACCATGCAAAATCATCTATATATATATATATACACATAGCCGAAACATCAATTTCCGGCCAAAAACTTGAGTATTCCAGGGGGGGAGCACCATATATCTATATATATATAAACTGTATTTTTGTCTGAAGGTCCATGATCCCGGGTTCCCCACACCCTCAATGGGCACGGTCCCCCCCACCTCCTGAGGGACTGAGGGACCTGGCTAACCTCGGATGCCCAGTGGCCCAGTGGCCTTAAGAAAAACTCAGGTGCCCTTTGCCTCTACTCAACAAACAAAAAGGGAAACAACAGGCGCCTGCTTGTTTTGCTTGTTTGTTGAGTTTAACCTGGTTGACGTTGGAAGCGGAGCAAACAAATAAATTTTAGCAGTTAAGAGGGGATTTCCCACTAAACCACAATAAGCAAAAATGCAAAATGTTTCCTAACGACAACCATGTTAAAGGGGAAGCCTTACCCCCCAAAAAAAACAGGCACCGTGTTTTGCTTGTTTGTTGAGTTTAAAGGGAAAGCCTTCTTAGCCAACCATGAAGAAACCTCCCTATCCCTAGCTCGTGGGAACCTTGAACAAGCCCTGACCACCCACCCCAAATCCACTAAACTAAGCCAACCTTTGACCAGCCTGAACCACCCCAGCCCCAACCACTCCACAGGGGGGATGGGGTCCCAAACCAATCCTCAACCACACAGGGTGTGCTGGGGACCCCTACCACCCCTACCCATTCCAGCCACCGGAGGGGGGGAGGAGACCATTGGGGGGTGGGGAGGGCAAGCCCGTGATCATATATGTATATATACATATATGGTGCCCCCCCCAAATGTCGACCTTTTTGTCTGTCTTCATCTGTGATGCCCCCTACTTCCCTCCTTGCAAAGGGAAAAAGACTCTCCAACTCAACCGTTCGAACCGTTTAACCCATTTGAACCCTTTCTCAGAGGAAAGGTCTGGGCCCAAAACCGTTTGAACCGTTTAAACCGTTGAAACCCTTTCTCAGAGAAAAGGTCTGGGCCCAAAACCGTTTAAACCGTTTGAACCCTCTCGCAGGTGAAACCCTGGGGGGGGGGCTTTCATTTGAGAGAGGGTTTAAACGGTTTAAACGGTTTTGGTCAGAACCCTGGAGGGGGGCGGCTTTCCTTTGAGAAAGGGTTCAAACGGTTTAAACGGTTTTGGGGCCCTGGCCCTTGGGGGGTGGGGGGAAGGGGGGGACCTTTCCTCTGAGAAAGGGCTAAAACGGTTAAAACGGCCCAAACGGTTTTAGGCCTTGGAGGGGGGGGGGTCTTGCCTCTGAGAAAGGCTTAAAACAGTTTTGGGGCCCCTTGGGGGAGGGACCTTTCCTCTCAGAAAGGATTTCAATGGTTGAAACCGTTTGGGGCCCTGACTCTCTTCTTTGCTGTTGTTTTAGACATCTTCTGACCAAACCTCGGCTTATAAATGGGACAGAGGTAGATCCAAACCGACTAAAATTTCATCCGGGCCTGGATTCAAGATTCGCTGGACAAGTGTTTAACCTGAAGCTTGCAGATTGTATTTGGACCTGTGCTCTGTTTGGTTGCTGCTTTCCCCGAAGCCGCCAAAAAGGCAGAAACCACTGCAAATAATTAATACCAATGAACTCTGGAAAAAGTAATTTAAATAGGATATCCCTTTCAAGGAGTATTTTTAATTGGCATGTTGATGTCAAATTAGACTTTAAATGCGGTCTCCCTGTCTTCTTCCTTAGTAAGGAAATAATCCTAGTAGGATGTTCCAGTTTAAAGAGAGTCTACATAGGCTTTCCTGTTCAAAGAAGACTTGTAACAAGCCCAAATACAGCCCTTCTTTTATACCAAGCCTATCTAAATCGTTAAACCCAGAAACTCTACTAGAATTATGTCATTATGAAATTATGTTAAATTATGTTCAACCAATTAAATTGAAAACATTTCAAAATATAATTTCGATTTTTGTCAAATTAGATTCTAAAGGGGGTCTCTTTTTCCAGGATTTGTTTCAATTATCTACAACATTTGAGTGGAGTTTAGTGAGAAAATAATACTCGCACGATTTCTACAATAAAGATAATCTAAATAGGTGCCCAATTCAAAGTCGAATTGGAAACTGGAGTTTAAACCGTGTTCTAGTTGTAGTTGGGATCAGACATTAAATAGAATTTAATAGGGACATATTTCTAGTTTCTGGTAGAGTGTCTAGCTTTAAACGATAATTTAAGTAGGCGTTTGTTAAAATGATATTCTTAATTGGAATTATAGTTTCAAGTTCGACTTTGAAGTGGGTCTCGTTTTTTAGGATTATGATCTCCAATGAATCTAGGTAGACATTGACAGTGAAACATCCTAATATAATTTCTAGTTGAAGATGATGTATATAGGATTTCGTGTTGGAACCATATGTTTACTTGTGATGCTGTTTTCCCAGGTAGAATCTAAATAGATTTTAGTAAGGCACCTATTTTTGACGCTTTCTCCAAAGCACCAAAAAAGACATAACACACCGCAAATAACATTGCAACCAACAAACAGGTCGTTTTTTTTGTTGGGGGGGGGGGGGGTAGCATATATGTATATATGTGTATATGTGTATGTATAATGTATGCATGCTTCTGTGAAGAGGTGTGTATAATGTATAAATATCAGTATGCTCATGCAAGTAAATAATCGCATGGGTGTGGATGGCCATGGTATCCAAGGTACGCATCCCGTGCATTGATACTATTCAAAACGGCGCCAGTTGCCTATCGGCTTTGTCGCGCTTTCACTATACCAAGAGGATGCCAGTTTTATAGAGATTCGGAGTATGTCATTTCTTGAGTTGGTCTCCTTTTGGTGGTTGTTAAAGTGAAACCAACGCGAAACCGTAGTCCATTTTGGGGGCTGCCCCGTTGCGAGACCGGGCAAGTCTGCCTAAAGTGTAGGCCAGAACAAATGTGAACCCCTTTTGATTGGTACAAGAAACAGTGTCAGTCTAGCCAAATATCTGAGCTCTTACACATACACGCATTGCCCGCTTGGTCATGTCACGGACAAAGACCCTTGGTGACTCAACAAAGCACAATGATGCTGTTAAACAAAAACACAATGCAATTGCTTGTCAGTCCTTTCTGTCCTGACTATTCCGGAACTCGCATGAACACTTAGCCACAACCACTTCTCCAAATCAATGTAGGGCTCTTGATCGCTGGCCCAAACACATTGCAATATGCACATATAGTGACTCTGCAAATTGCTGCGTCTGTCCATGTCCACCCATTACAACACTCACCTATGCATTGCAAGGGAACCAAGCGAAAAGCAAGATGTTAGATCCATGGTTGATCAACCCGTGAATTTCAATAGCCATCCCGTGTCTGATATTGTTCAGTAAAGGATCAGTATAGTTCCCAAGAGCAAGCGGGTACACTCCCTCAGACTAACATGGAAGCTCCCAGAAGGCCTCTGTAAATGGAACCAAGTCTTCCAAACGGGTCCTGGGAGCTTCCATGCTAGTCTGGCGGAGTGTACAATATTTGAGGCAACAGGATGCTCCCGATTCTGACGCAACTTCCCAGGCTCGATGATGATAATACACCGCTAGGGCGTTCTCCCAAGAACAGAAACTTCAAGCATGCCTCCCAGCTGATCAAGTGGTCCCTCCAGCCTTTAGCTATGAGTTCTTAGATGCTCTAAAGGGGAACACGTTGAAGAGTTTGCACGCTTGTATTTCTTGTCGTTGCTGATGGCTGAGCAGGGCGCCCAGGGCTGTCCTTTGACATGGGAAGCAACCTGTCAACACCCAGGCATGGCCTTCATTACATGCCTTTAATCATCTTGGCCTTGGGTGAGATCCATCCATCTCTGACAAAACATATTACAGTTCCAAAACCCGCAACAAGACGCCGTCATTTGTGAAAGGACACTTCATGTATTGACACTGTACGGGCAAATACGCGCATCTTCATGCATCTTCCCAATAAAAATCTGCAGGCTCTGGGGGGACCCGGGGTCCCCCAAGGTCGTGGGGGGGGCCAGTGATGTTGACCCAGAATTAATAAACCCGTCCCATTATTAGGGGGGTGTTACCTCCAAAAGTGATGAATCCCCAATAACAGGGGACAACCCCCCTATAAATCAACCAGGGGTTTGTTAATCCGGGGTCAACATTAGGTCTGGGGAGGGGGGGGGGTCCTACTTCTCCCTAATCGTAATCGCTCAACAACGCCCGGAAGAATCGATTCCCGAATTTCGACATGATAATTTGCCTGCTGCTCTTCCTGGAGCGATGTCTCCGTCCGGCTCTTTGCAGCCTGAAGCCGACTTCGGTTCCGAAAAAAAGGCGGATGACTCTGGACACACGATGCTAAGATATGTACAGTACACCAAACCAGACAAATGCCCACAATCTATACATGTAGATACATGTATATGGTCACCCCCCCCCCCCGGAAACCCACCTTTCTGGTGATTGCACAGGAGACAATAATCTGCAGATGCTCAACGTCCACTTGGTTTGCAAGTGCCTCGGAGGAACCACTGTAATTTACAGCGTTTGTTTGGGTAAGATTTGTTATAGTCCCAGATGTTCTCTATGTGTTTGATGCGAAACAATCATCAATAAGCTACGCAAAAACAGAAAAACAAACAAACAAAAAACACAAACACGGACATGCAAATTCATCATTGTTGACAATACTGTTGTTTGTAGGGCTGCCGTCTTTTCTAAAGCTACACCCACACTCCAAAAGCTGGACATGACGCCAATCTACAGCAAGGTGTTCACCTACACCTGGTGCTCACAGACATATCTGTGTGACGGTTCCTTTTGACAAGGCGTTGACCGAAGCAAACAAAACTGGTCAGCATGGTCATCTTGGTTTTTGCTTTGAAGTCTCTTAGTTGTTGAACCAATTATACATATATATATATATATATAATATTGCACTGGATGCGTCTTTAACTAAGGCTTACTAAGGGACCGCCAACCATGATTGGTTTCCTTTTGGTTTCCCTTTAAAACCAGCCCAAAACCAGTATCCTCGAAGACACACCCATATTGGAACTGGACAAAACAGCAATGCATCGTCTTGGGGTTTTGACCGACCAGATTCGGTGATTCGGGGCACCAGGGCGAGAGGTTGATTCGGGTCAGGTCAAGAGAATAACCGTCCAGTGTCCCCTACAATCTCTGTCTTGCCTGAGGCCTGCATGACCCCGAGTTCCTAACACGCGCCAGGTGACCACGGAACTAAGCTCTGGGCTGCCCAGCTGCCACGGGAGAAACGCCGCTCTTTTGCTGATTCATGGTTTTGTGCAGCGGTCACTGGATCTCTCCTCACGTAGCAATTTCCTGGTGAGTTCCAACCAAATTTTGCCGCTTTGGAGGTCACAAAAAGGGACAGGTGTGATTCACTGTTTGCCGGGAACCAATTGCGGCAAACTCGTGCATGACCAAGATTGGGTGTCTTTTTTTGAGGGGACCCCTTCTTGGTGTCGGAAAAAAGGACACCCAACGCATAACCGAAGCGCCACCCACACGTCAAACACCGGAGTCGGCCGAGCGAGTCTTCGCCTGAAGGAACTCCGCGGTCTTTCGCAGGGCCTCCTGCTTGTTGTCCTCTATGCTCGCCGCCAATAGCTCGCCTCCAGTAGCTTTGACAATTGCTCAGCGACCTACGGCTAAGAAGCAGGCGTCGCACGCAGGACGTCCAATCATGAATGTGCAATCCGGGCAACCAAAGCAAACATGCACCACAGGAAACGAGCTGGACAGCCTTCAATATTCTTGCACATCGCGCATACTCTGGAACCAGCGTGGACACCCAGTGCAGAACTTGCGAAAAAAATCATCGAAACATTGGTTTATTGATTAAATCAACTCAACCACAACGTCAAAATCAGAATTTCCAAGCATTGCTAGTTCCTTCCTGGCAAGCAAATGATACATTCACCCGACACATACACACAAAACAACACAAAACACAACAACACCCCACACACACACACACACACGCCCAGATGACATTGAGGCCACCAAACAAACAAACCTTTTGGCCTGCAACACATGTTTGCATATTTCCACAGACGAACACGTGGCTTTTGAAGCTATCAGCTTGGCTGCGACATGCGGTGGGAGTTAATGTATCCTTCACAACTCTTGGAATGGATGCAAAAACCTGCTTTTTGCAAGCCCCTGCAAAAAAATGAACAGAACCAAACAAAAACTCAAACACAACTAAAACACTTGCCAAGAACAGAAGTATCACAAGCATCCACAACATGTAAGACATCAATATAAGCTACCAGTCAGCTCTCATGCTACTCCTCCCGCACCGGAAAGGCGTCTGAGAGTCTGGCAAAGCTTCTGCAATTCAACCTCAGATTGCACATTCAGCCGGCTGCTTCTTCAAATTGATAGTCAAGAAGTCATATGGGCTATGATACGCGCATGAATGGCTAATACGTGTAGCACCACTTTACGCATTGCATACCTGCGTGGCAACGCAGCCCTTTCGAGGAAGCAACACAAACTCCTATCACCCGGTCATTTCAGCACCGGCTCCTGTTTCAACGGGCCTCCAGTGAATCAGCAGCTGCAAATGCTCCAAGCTAAAGGAGAGCATGTTCCAAATCGGATGAGAAGCCTGGCAGCAAGGGGCGAACAAATGAAGTCGGCCCCTGTGCACGCACAGAAACACCTCAGCTGCCACCAGTGCCATTGGGATAGGTTCAATTTGACGTCGCAAGGCCAGCATATCTTGGCATTGGCTGCCCTAAAAACCTCCTTGCTGACTTCTAGTTCATGTTGATCCTCTCTTCATTGAAAGCACACCCATTGACGGGAAGCAAATGTCCGCATTCACAACAAGATTCACAATTGAAGATTGTTGATCAGAAGTCATCGCGCGTTCTCACTCACGACACTCTGTCTTGGGGTAAGAAGTTTGATCTTGTGACAACCCTGAAGAAGGCCGGATAAGTCAATCGCAGTTTCACACGCGAAAATACAGAAGGGCGTAGGTGCTCTGAGGCCAAGCTCAATACGGAAGCAACATAAGTTTGGCGTAGCTTCACTCAAATTGCCCACCATGCTGATCAACCCAGGAATGAAGCTTTGGGCCTTCGGGAATGTAGCCTTAGTGTTCCAAAGCCAATATTCTTCAAGAAGAAAAGCAACAAACAACTCATGGCAAGGCACAGGGATCATGTTCTCTTTGCGATATCGGGGATGGAGATGCTTAAGTCAGACAAATGTCCGGCCACCGCAAGCCGCAAGCAATCGCCGACACAGCCAATTAACAACACATATTCAAATTGTCTCTTTGTCACGAAGAGGAAGCTTTGCAGGGCGGCTTTCTGCAATTTGGGACATAGGGTGTACCCTACGCAACCATCCAACATTGGCAGCAATAAGACAATCTGCAGGTTGCTGTCCGAATGTAGCAAACCGACCTTTTCAAGAGATAAGATTGACTTAGCAACTCAAGAGCCTTGTCACGTCACGGTCACGGCCCAAGGGCGGAGCTCGGAAATGCTCTTTGCATTTCTGCACGGACTCGGACATCTCTGATCGGACCTGGTCCGACAACTCAGCTACCTCTTCAGCAGATCCCATGGATGGGACAAATACAAAATGGGCGTGTCTTTCGTTGAGGATACCGTTGTTGTTGGTGTTTTAGAGGAAAACCAATAAGGAAAACCACAATTTTCGGAAGTCCAACCTCAAAAGACACACCCAAAAGTTGTATTCACAAAGCTCAATTCAATCAACCCGGATAGGAATCTTGTGGTGAAACTGGCAACCAGCTCGCTTTGTGAGCTTGTAATGTAGCTTGCCCAAATGGAATGTGTTATTCATTGACTGGAAGCTATCTAATAGGGGCCGCTCCAGGGTCCGGGCTTCCGAACCTTTCAACCGAGCGGGTAAAGTTTGCAAAGGCACTCATTGGCTTGTCAGCAAGATGCCAGTTCAAGACGCAGATTTGCTTGAATTTGAACGCTGCTGGGTCCAGCAGCCAGTACATAGGAAACGTAATCAACCAGTCAATCAATTCAACATTTGGTCGTTGGCTTTTTTCCCCTTAGACACGTTTGGACATTAATGAAGCTTCCGCGGACCCTTCCGCATCCTTGCGCCAAGAGGTCCCTTCCGCGGACTTCCTCAGCATATGTGTTTCATCGTTTTCTTTCGCAAACCTTCTGCGCCGAATGTCGTACAAGATTTGCTGCCGCGAGTATTGGCGCAGAAAGGAAAGTCAGTTTAAGTAAGTAAGAAGAAACCCCAACGATCATGGAAGTGGACAAAGAGGTCCCCCAAACACAAAGTAGTCTTCCGACAGCTCCCGGTCAGCGTCCATGATTCTTGGAGGGAGGGCAATCATTCAAACAGAACGATTCTACTGAAAGAATGAAAAGAACGCTCGGGCCCGTCCACGTCCCATGAGTCTACATGTCTCTCGATTCTCGGACCGTATCAATCCGTCACCCCTGGAACTGGGCCAACTCTCTAGGTGAATATCGTCTTGTTTGGAGTTGGTACCCCTTGTTTGGTGGGTTTAAAGGAAAACCAGGAGGACATTTTCGTGGGTTCCCTGGATCACTTTGGAGGCTGCTATTCCCCGGGTCAGTTTTTGGTGGGTCCCCTAAAAAGACACACACAAATATTTCCACTTGCTGCCGGCAGATGCAGATCCATCCCATTCAAGCAGATTTGCGATCCATACTTGTCGGCGGACGCGAAACGCATCGGAACCAAGGCAGGCACATCAGCGAAGTCCTGCAGTTGAAGGGCACCGCACTTCGCAACCCAGCTCTCAGTATGGAGCCTTTGGAGCCTTTGGTGATATTCGTTGAGAAGGGCAGATTCTCGGCTTGTTGTTTGCATTTCTTCTTTCTCGGACTTCCTATCGCTGGAAAACGATGCGTTTAGATGGTGCTATGTGTTGGCCCTCTGCATTTGGAAAGACCTCTACAATGGGTGTATCTGGGTGTGTCTTTTTTGGGGGTTGGTGTATCAAAGTGAACTACGTGCTTCGTTCCCGCGTGTCAAAATGGTCTACCCAGAACCATGCTTCAAGAAGTAAAAGTGTGGAATTCCGCACCCGTTTATGGCAAGGGGATTGTCCCTTACTTACTAACCTTCATTTACCCGAATCGGCTTTGAGGACGTGGCTCACATGGGTGTGGGGTTGGACAAAACGGCCCCCAATCAACGCAAAATCAACAGCATCTTCCATTTGCTTAAGCCCCTGGCAAAAAATAGTATGGCCAGTAGTGGAATCGATTCCTAAAAAAAAAAAAAACATTTCAGCAAATGGAAAAAACAAACGCCCCATATCAACCCCAATCAACCCCAATCAACCCCCATCAATAGCCTCAGAAATGTCCTGGTCCAGTCGCTCGCAAAGAACGTGGAGCTCATCTGAGAGGGTCTTGCGCGACGCCTCCTGGCAGGAAATGAACAAAACATCGAGGGCCGTGACCAAAGGGAACCCAAAACTGGAGTGAGTTCCAAGGGAAACCGAAGCAAATGTGGGTGCAAACCACAAGAAACCCCAAGCTTCAAGTGGAGAATGGACTTTCATGTGGTAAAAGGCTTGAAACATGTGCCTACCCAAACACCTGGAAGGGTTCGCTTGACTCCAAGAATTCACTTCTGGTGGCCAATATGTAACTTAGATTGGGACAAGCATTGGGGACCACCATCCCATTCCTCACCCCTTGTCCAGATGATCTAAGACCATAAGATCCAACGGTAGCCAGGGCCAGACTTCCGCTTGCATCACCCGGACGACTGTTAACAAATGAAACGCAGTTCTCTTGACGTTCTCGTCCTGACTGATATTGGGATCTGTTTGGGTGGCAATTGCGCACAAGATAAGGTAAAACTGCACCTTGCAAACAGCTGAAAAGGCAGTGGCCTGCTGATATCCGATGTCCTTTGAGTTCAGTTTCAGCAAAGTCCAGCTTTCAGCAACCTTTTACCCAAGGACATCATTTTGCCTTGCGTTTTGGGGCTTAAAACGACCAAGCTCCCCCGGTTGTATAATGCTGCGTGCCTGAAAACGGGGGGCACTCCAATGGCTGCTCTACCTTTGCCCTCGAACACAAACCCATATGGGCCTGTCCTTCTTTGAGGGATCCATTTTTGAGGGTTGGTAACAGGAAGCCAAGAGGACAATCACCACTTTGGGGGGGTCCCCCATTTGAAGACACACCCAAGGCTGGTGTCTGCCGCTTTGCGGGCGATGCGCGATGCCGAACGCCCACCAGCCCGGGTTCAAATCGAGTCCGGCCTCAAGCTGGCGCAGCTCCTTCTGAAGCTCCTCGCAAGCGCAAATGGTAGCCGCTGGAAACCACTCCCTCAGACTTCCATGAACCGTTAATATTGATGGAGCCCACCATTCACTGAATCAATCGAAGGCGCTATTCACCACAAACTGAGATCATTTACTGTAAAGCAACCTCCGATTCATTGAGCCAACATTTTCCGGCGTGGTTTGGGGAGCACCCCAAATCTCTGGGTGTCTCGTTTGTCAGGGGACCCCCAACACTTGTGGAGTTCCTTTCGGCTTCCCTAAAAAGGCAAAAAAGGGGTACCAACTCCATGTCTCTTCCTCGCGGTTTTCCTTTCGGTTTCCCTTTAAATCCGCAAAAAAGAAAACCCAACTCCAAAAAAAACACCAAAGCGAGGCATCCCGCCACCCCCCTCTGGTTTCTCCGAACTCCCGGCTCCCATCACCGTCTTTGAACCGGATGGATCGCCGTCCTCGTCGGAGCGCCGCAGCTCGTTCTTGAGCTCCCCCATCTGCGCCCCGAGTCGCTGCTCTAGGGCGCGGCAGCTGGCGCCGGCGAAGGCCTGCGAAGCCCCGAGGTGCCGTCCACAAACTGTCCGCATGAAAACCCCCAACTAAGACCCAGCAACCCCCAAACCCCTGCCCCACTTGAAGCCACTACTAACCACTACCCACTGACCCATGAACCCCCCTACCCACTAACCACTACCTACTAACCACTGGTAGGTGGTGGTGGGTGGAACCCATCACAGGCTCTCTGTTGGACGCCAGTCAGGTTCTATGTTAGTGAAGGATAAGTATTCTCGTGGGGTGTTCCAAATAGAACAAAGAACTGTACAATACTATTGCCACTGTTCTGATTGTCTGCAATGCCGGCTCTTTCGCTTCATGCTTGTCCAAAGGAACATCCAAATGGGCCTTTATTGCGCAATATCTCGCAAGGGAGGTAAGTGGTTACTGGCATGAAGCTCATGAAAAGAGAGAGAGAGAGAGAGCAAGCTCTGGGAAGCATCTCTTGACTATAGGGGGCCTTTTGGTAAAATAGCTGGCACTGGTAAATGGGGCATAAACCCCATGTAAACCAGTGCCATTCATTTCTAACCAACCTAACCCAGCAAAAAGACACCCTATGCCCCGGAGCTCCTGAGCTGTGCTCTGGGCAGCACCGGTCCCATGTCTGTGGAAGTTCTGAGCCTGCCTGTCACCCTGAGTTGGAAAAGCCAGATGTTTGTCAAAAGCATCCAGCCAACTGCAGCAGCTTCCTGCAGGTGCTACTGGAAAACTCACATACCTACCAGTCATGGGCATGTCCCTGTCAAACCGATTCTAGGTCCGAGAGGTTAGAATAAGAGTACCAACTGTTTTTGTTTCTGTAGTCTATTTAGTAGGGGAACCCTCCCCCACTGCGGGAACTAGGATTGGAATCCGTGAGCAAACGAAATGGAAACAGGAGATTGCCTGCAATGAACGTTGCTTGCCGCACTAGGGGACCAAAGCCGATTGGAACCAATCTTGACCGAGCCTGACCGCTCCGATCGTGGCAGCCATCCATCATGAAACGCCCTCTGCATTCCTGTCCTGCGCATCTTCAGCCACCCGCTGTGTGGCTGCTTTGGCCTCACTCAAAATGAACAAGCTGTCATTTTCTGCCACGTTGTCACCTCCCCGCCACACATTGTCGGGTGTTTGATTGACTTCAGAGATTGACATAGTGCATCAACATGCCTGCACATCACGTATCTGATGCTGACAGGTCTGTAAAGAATGAAAACGCAGTCTTGCGCGAAAAAGCCGTTTTGCATTGGAAAACTAACAATCAGGCCGGCAAATATGGTCTAGGTCGTCCGTGGAGAGGTTAGAATAAGGGTACCCTTTTTCTGTAGTCTATTCTAGTAGGGGACCCCTCCCAAAAGAAAGGGTAAAAGGGCACTACTGGGGGGACCTAGGTGGAGCAACAGGAAGACCAGCCACCGGCTTGAATTCAACCAGGAGACCTCACGAGCCACCTGAGTCTTTCTGTGTTGCGCATAAGCCAAACTGGATACACTCCCTCAGACTAACAGCCAAAAACTGCCAGACGGCCTCCGTCAATGGGTCACCAAGTCTTCCGATTCGGGGTCCATTCGGCAGCTTCCGGGTTAGTGTGTAGGGTACCAACTGGTGGCACGGCTTGGGCACTAGCTGTGGGCAGGCGAAAGGAACCAGGGCAACTCAGTTCCTCAAATCTCCAGGTGAGGTATTTACTGGCCAGGGTGGGCTGGTGAACGTCGAGAAACATGGCAACCCCATGCAGGGTTTGGCGAAGTCTATATTTCTCACCAAACTCCCAAACCGATATGTATTGATCTCAAAGACATGGGACCAGAAAGCTTACATGTAGGGTTTACGTTTGGACCGCTCATGTTCCAGATCCCGAAAGCGACAAAACTAATTGGCAGGTCAGCAACAAAAACACCAAGGAAAAACTGGCAGCCACTTAAAGAAGTACTCATAACCAAGGCTTGGACAAAAAACACAGGACAAAAGCTTTTGCTTTTTTGTTCATGGTCCACTTGCTGGCCCCGTCTCTGGTTCTTACAATCACGAGAAGAAGCACTGATTTTGACTGAATTCCCCAATGATCTTGCACCCTTTAACTAACCATGCCACAAATCCACAGCACTTTGCGCCGGAAATGATACACAGCCAAGCTGTCAAAACTGATGCGGCTGGGGCAACTACGCCACAAATGTCCGAAGCAAATAGCTGGTGCAAAAAGCCTCTAATTCCATTGACGCGGCCAGCAAGCAGCTACATCGGAAAGAAATCCCAGCACCTGATCTGAAACTTCCTTGCTCGCCCGACACGGGGAATCAACAACCGCCTTTGTTCCTGGCTCAAAACCAAACCAAACCACTTCAAACCTGTGGCGTAGGCATCGGCATCCCTCAAAAACGAGTGGAGTTTGGAGCCCGGTGGTTCGGTGTCCCATCTATCCTCTACAAGAAGCAAGGGTGCAAATCCGAATCCAGTTGCCACCAATCCAATCCACCAAAGGGTTACCTGAAGGCAACCAAAACTCACACACACAAAATCAAACACAAACAACAAAACACAAGAACAACCAAAACACTCAAAAGAACACCAAGCACGAACATCCGGGACGCTCATGTTTTGGCTTCAGCTGGGTCACCACTTCCAAGTCCTTCGCCAACTCTCCTTTGGCCACCTCAAGCTTGGCAGAAGCTGTGCTTGGCCCCGAAAAGAACGGTGTGGGCGCCTTTGTCATTTTGGGGTTCCTGTATGTGGTGCCTTTGATAATCAATGTGTTTGGAATTATTTTGTATGTGGTGCCGTGGATAATAAATGTTATTGACATTCTATTGTATGTGGTGCCCTTTGATAATGAATGTTTCTAGAACAATTCTATTGTATTTGGCACCACTCTATCGTATTTGGTGCCCTTTGATGATGAATAATTCTGGAACGACTCTATTGTATTTGGTACCCTTTGAGAATCTGGCATATGAAGTGACAGCAAACAGTGTTGACCAGCAAAGCTTTGTGTTCGCTATGTTCGATCAAGTAAACCTTGTGCTCGAACTATCTGACAACCTGGCTTCATACAACTCTACTTCCAGCACGGGTGCTGCAGTGATTGTGCTCACAGATCCGGTGGAACTGGTTTGGTAACTTGCCGCGTTGATGTTGTGGCAGTGTCAGCACGTCGCAAGATGTGTGCAACTATAAGTTTTACCGTGAGAAGCCAAGCCCAAGAAACTGCCCAGCAAAAACAACACAAACAGGGAGCGAACGAAAAAACACATGCGTCATGTGACATGTACACAGCTACTTATTCACAACAAACCGGATGACGGCCTGCCAACTTGCCGACGCACCAACATGGAGAACATTTATAATAAACAGAAGCGCTCGTAGGATTTTAAGTCGGCGAACTCTGCTGACGTGCATTGCTGACACCTGAGCTCTTGAACTTCCGTGTACCACCGGCACTTGCGGCGCGTCCCTGCAACCTGTCATCTTCGGCCCTGCCTGCAGCTGAGAAATGTTGTCTTCGCAGGCAGGCACCTGCCAAAAAACAGCCCAAATGAGCAGTGAATGGAATCGACATTTTGAGAAGTCACTTCTTTGTGCCACACAAAAAACCGCCTTCGCAACAGTTTCCCTTCCAAGTTGGAACCACAAACACAACTCAAACTGCAAGTCCTGCGCTTGGAGTCCTTGTTTTGCCGAAACTTCTAGAGCTTGGTTGTTTTCGGGCGGCGCTGCTCAAACATCCGAAGTGAACACCTGGCTTTGCTACGTTCGCAACAAATCGGAAAGGAGCGCTCGTTTCAAAACCCTCGGAGCGCCCGGCTTCAAGCCAGTGGGAAGCAGATTTGACCAGAGACTAAGCCAGAAACCAGAGTCACTCCGAGAGCCAATGGGACAGAGAGAGCTGTGCCCAAAGCTCCGTGAAAACCCGGACATTGCAAAAGAGTACCAAAAGAGTACTGAAAGCTAGTCTTGGTCCTCCTGTAGAGAGGTTAGAATAATATATATAATAAGGGTAGAACAAGGGTACCAACTTTTTCCTTTAGTCTATTTTAGCAGAAGAACCCTCCCCCCAAAAAAGAAACGGGTGAGAAAGGGCACTTGGGGAAGTTCTCGAGACGCCCATTGCTTCAAGCCTCGCAGCCGCTCTGACGTCTCTCGCTCTCGAGGATCAAATTGCGGAGCCAAGAATTTCAAGACACTCAACAGTCACCGGAGTTCCTCAAAAGTTGATCAATGAACTGGTGGGTTCCCTTGAATCTGCGGGTCACCGGAGTTCCCCCAAAGTTGATCAATGAACTGGTGGCTTTTATTTTGAAACTGCCACATTTGGAGGTCCCAAGAAGGGCCATGGAGGAAAGAAAGCCTGCTCAAACACGACGGCAGAGGGCAAACTCCGTGTCTCTGCGTCTCGCGACCTTGGCTTGGAAATCTTTCTGCAAGCGCCCGATCTGCGCCTTGCGAACGAGCGAGGACTGATTCCCGCAAGTACAGTGGTTGGCAGCACGCTACACACACATGCACACAGTCAATTTGCCAAGCAAGCAGGTGAGGGGGATATTGTCACAATCACAATCGCCCCCACTATAAATCATCCTCCTCCTCCTCCTCCTCTTCATCATCATCATCATGATCATCCTTGCCTTTTTGTATGAACCTGCTAGACTCCCCCCCTCGTTTTCAAAACGGCTTTCCGGCCCAGCGCGTGTTTCTTTGTCCTTTTTGCCTCGCGCCTTACACCCCCCCCCTCGCAACGTCGCCTGCAGCTGGGCCTTGAGCTCCGAAAACTCCTCCAAAGTCACCAGAATTGGCTTCTTCCCCATGGCATCGGATTGGCCCGGCAGTCGTGGGCCTTCCTCTTTGGCTTCGAAGGCCCAGCCTTTTTGCAGATGTGTTGTTCATGTGCTTCTGTTTCTTCCTGATTTTTGTTGGGGGGGGTGGGGACGGTAGAAAAACGCCTTGTTTTGCAGATGTTCTTCTTTCTGTTTGGATGGGGCACCGGTCTCAGGAGTTCCAAGGCCAACCCTTCTTTCTGTTTGGGGGGGTGGGGATGGTAGAAAGATGGCAGGCTGGTGGACGTTGGGCGATTTTTTTACATCGCCAAAAGCTAGAGCCACGGATAAGGAGGACGTGTTCATTTTCAGCCAATTCAAGTACAAGGAAGCAAGGAATATCAGTCTGGGGATCCAGCTGCGGAAACTCCCTCTTAGGACCCTTCTGGTTCCAGGCACGTGCAAAGATCTCCGGGCGGCCGAGGATCGTCATCTGCCTTTGGCAGGTACTGAGCCGCTGCGACAAGACATCAAGTCTAGACTGGAACTAGGACGCCAGCAAAACAAAATCTTTGCTTTTGCCTGGTTGGTGGAAACCAAAGAGACCCCCAAAAAGCAAAAGCACAGCAGGGGAGCTAATTCTGGGGAAGAAGTTGGTTGAAATGTAGGGTTTGTGTCTTCTAGAGGACCCACGAACATGGTGGTTATCCCTTTGGCTTCCTCTTTACACCCAAACCCAAAAGGGTATCCTCAGGAAAAGATGCACCCGTATGCTGCTGGAGGTGCGCAAGGCTGAGCAAACATCTCTCTGAGAAGACCCGCGGAAGTTGCAGCCAACTTGAGCTTGGATGGTGAATGGGTAGCAAACCTACATACGGCCAAGGAACAGCCTAGGTCTCACTTTTTGCTGTGGGCGGTAAGCATCCCACTGGAGAAGAGGCCGCCGATTTGGAGTAAGCCGACAAGCCTGGGGAGGAATGTAGGAATCCATGTCAACTTGGAGAGTGCAAACTCTCATTTTGCGGCCTTCCTTTTCGCTTGAAAGTACCAGCTTCCGCAGAATTAGCTCCCTTTTTTTGGGGGGAGGGGTCCCCTTTGTTTTCCACTACAGGAAATTCAAAAGTGGCCATAGTGGATCAACAATATGAACACACAGTCCACACAACAACTGACATGGTTGGAATTAACCAGGAGCAAACATGCAGCCACATTATGGGTTTGAGTCCAAATGCAAACCCCTGACACGGAGCAAGTTCCCTTCGGTGTCCTTTGAACCAACCCCATCAAAAAAGAAGCATCTATATTTGCTCGGAAGACCAGCAGCCTAACATGCGGCGGGGCGTTGCCGAAAGCCTAGCAGCAACTCCCAAGCCGTTGCAGACGATAGCAAAATGGGAGGAACGGAATCTAGGTCCTCCAGTAGCGAACTTTTTGTTCTGTAGTCTATTTGAGTAGGGGAACCCTCCCCAAAAAAGTTGGTAAAAGGGCACGACTGGGGGACCTAGGAATCGCCCAAGCCTCAAGCAGAACCTTGGCCAGAGAAGCCATCCAAATCCCTTGAGGCCTGCAATACAACGACCGCAAGCAGTATTCCCAGCCCAAATCGCGCAACCCACTGCGCTTGCATGTTTTCTCATAGGCTGGAAAAAATCGCAATTGCTTTCGGTTCACTCCTTGTTTCCTCGCGCCCAGCCTGAGGCACAAACTGGGGCGGCACGCATGGCTACGTCAACACTTGTTTCGAGAAAGACGGCTAGGAAGGGAACTGAATTAAACCAACGAACTCCCTTCTTTACTTCGACGGCGGAAAACAATCATGAATGATTCTTAAATAAGGAAATCAAGCAAACAAAACAAGAGGTTGTTTGTGGTAGGCCAGCTTCCCCAATTTGGCAGAAGTCTCGCATGAGATCTGGAAGTATTCCTAGATTGAGGACAACCAAGCCCAGGCTCCGATCAACATATTCGCCTGGTCCTGTTTCACGATACTAATTCACAAGCTTCTGCACTGGGGATCTGGTCTAGGCATGCCTAGGCTAGGACTAGATTCTTAGACAAACCCAGAACGATATATGCAGCGCTCAACAAGCTGACAAATGGCTCTAAGGGCAAAATGGTCGTCTCATTGCGCATTGCCCATCGCTATAAACCCTTTCAACCAGTGAGTCAGACAAACCCATCATCGTCCATATGGCCATGGGTCAAACTCACGTACCCTTAGTGAACATCCCCATCCCCACTAAAAAAGCCTAAAATGGGTGGTGAATTCACCTAGCCCAAAATGGGATCCCATTGGTTTTGACAACCACAGCCATATTTTGGGGTGTTGCGGGCCGTTCCTGAGTCATCCCCAACAACAAACGCCAATTGCTGCAGGTCAGGTGGGTCCAAATCTTGTAGGCTCAACCGCTTCCCGGTGTAAGTCCAGTCATCTAGGGGTTGACTCCTTTTCCATTCTTTTCAACCATCGCTCCTTTCGAAAACCAGCCGTTTCCCTGGGTCTCTGATGGTTTCCTGAAAAGATTCGGATCCCTGGATTGAACGAATGGGGACTGTAGCCCTAGAGGTAAGGATTGCAAGGCCCAAAGCCATCTGAGGGAGCTTTCAAAAAAGGCGCGGGATCTGTTCGAATGGCATGGGCCTCTAGATTTTAGTTTGTGCGCACGCCAAAGAGTGGGCCACGGTCTACGTGTTTCTTGCAGAACCATCTGATACGCGGCAAAGGGTGAAGCTACAGCTGGCGGCAAAGAAAAGACCTCTGAAACAGTCAACTTGTAGAGTCCAGCTGCCGAAGGGAAATCAATTTCAATACACATCAATAACTCTGGGTTCTAATCAACTACCATCTCCCATCAGGCGCCGCTTATGGTTACACACCAAAGCAAAGGACATCGGAACAAAGAAACACATGCAGGTAATAATTCAGCAAACATTCTTTGTAGCCATCAATGAACTCAAACAACCGTTTGCCCTTCCTCCCACAAACATAAAAAGAAAAACAAAAAAAAGCGGGAGGGTACCTGAAAGATCAGTTTCCTCGTACCCTCTGCGTGCCATGTTAGTGGAAGGAAGGAACTGGGGATATGGTATTTGGCCCAATCCAATTTTCTGGGGGGTGCTTGTTGGTCACGGGGTGCTAGGGCTGTCGCCATGGACATCATTTTAAGAATAAACCAAAATGTTCGGGGACTGTTCCTTAGTGTCACCATAGTCCAGTTTATGATTTGTGGAACTTTCCAACCCTTGGTATGTAGCAAACAACACATGTCTCTTGCAGCGTACTAGACTAAACATGGACAAAACCAAAAAGACTTAAAATCGAAAAACGTGATCCAACACCATACCCTGAACCCCCAACTCTAAAAAGCAGTGAAGAGAGCTTCTGTGTCGGTAGCTCCTCACTGCTTCACGGCTTCACGCAACCCCCAAACTGAGGTCCCAAGCTGTCGGCGACCAGGGACTGCCCACCGATGGAGCTCCTGATTTTTCGTCCATCCAATGGTTCTGCCCCTAGGCGTCTTTGTAAATGGGGCATAAAGCACAAGCTAAACCGGTGCCACCTACCAATCAAACTATATCAAACTAACCTACAAAGGACACCTATGGCTCTGCCACTTGGGCGTATCGTTTTCGGAGTTGGTATCCCCTTTTTGGTGGGTGTGAAAGGAAACCACCGCATTCAGGGTTGCCGAGCTATTAACCTCCCAAAGTGACAGTTTTAGCGGAAACCACCAGGAAATTGATCAAAATTTGCTTTGGGGAAACTCAGAAACCCCTGGTTCTGCCACTTGCTCTTCAGAAAGGTTGGCTGCTTCTGGGCAGGTGGAAGTAAGCATTGTGGAGTCATTAAGTTGGAATGGGTTGTCTGAAATGTTTGCAGGGCTTCGTCAAAGTAACTGTTCAGCTTGAAATGAAAGCGTTCCCTTCGCTTTTGGTGCGTGGTCACATGTCTCGATCAAGGTGAGTGTGTGCTTGATTCTCTGCTCAAGAACTGGACTTCCTATTCCTATGCTTGTAAGAGGGCAAACATCTAAAGAACCCTTTGTACCAGTACCAAACAGAAATCGAACCTTCCGCATTTCCTCTCTGCACCTTCGGCAAAAAACACAACCTCAACATGCCCGGATCTACAAATTAATTTCTGAAGACGATTAGCACCCCCCCCCCGATTAAAGGTTTTCACTTTTCCACCCCAGGTTCTCACCAATATTAAAGTTTCGGGCCAACAAAGTTTCCCCCAAAAAAAAACGACCCAAGTATTTTTGGGCCCTCCCCAAAACCCCCCCCGATTAAAGGTATCCCTCTGCAGCCCCGAGCCAAAAAACAACTGCCAGAAAATGGACTTCCTTCTTGCTTAGTATTTGCTTAGTCTGTGCTTAAGCGCACCAATACTAAGTTACTATTGAACCCCTCAAGTTTTCGTCAAACATGTGCTTCCCCCAAAATCATTTGTTCTTTATTGAAAGTTGTAAAACATGACAGGGTTTTCAAGCTCACAAAGGGGACCCCCCTTGGAGGCCAGCCCCCCCTCATCCACAGAAAACACGCCACGATTAATCAGGGCCCTTTTGGGCTCAAAACCCAAAAACCGGCTGTTGCCTTTTAAAGTCCTACTGGGGGCCGAGATTAATCAGGGGGGTCCTTCCAAAAATCACAGTTTTGCGGACTTGTCCAAACCTCGTCGACCTTGAGGGGGGGGGGAGGGGGGTTTACTAATCAGTTGTCACCATTCATATCCTTTGCGTCAAATCCCGGGGCTTGAAATCCCGGGCCCAAGCAAAACCACCTCTCACCAGCAAACCCGCGCCCACACGACTCGACGCGTAGCGAAGCGACGCGACGCGGCTCCCGTTGAGCTGGGAGATCGCTTGGGAGGCTTCCTCCGGCGTGGCGTAGACCACCGCGGCAGTGCCCTTGCCCTAGGCGATTCGAGGCGAAGCAGGCGCTGGTCGCTCGGGAAAAGGAGTGGAGTGCTGCAACCCGAGGCGCCGCATGAACCTGCGAAGATCAACATTTGGCTGTGGGTCAAAATGCCGTTCCCCCAGTGAAGATCCCAATCCCCACTAAAATAGACTAAATTGGGTGGTGCACCTACCCCAAAATGGTACCATTGGCTTTGACCCACGGCCATTTCAGCCTCTGCTCCTTCTGTTTTTAAGTCTTAAGCTAGGACCAAGCTGGAACCAAGAGCAGTGTCTGATTTGCGCCAACCGCTCATCTGAATCGGGTACCATTCGGTCCTATCACCGCACACCCAGTGCATCTGCCCGAATCCCAGTCGGCTTTACTTTCCTGACAGGCTTACCTCACAACATGTTGGACCACACACAAAGCTTGCCCGTACAAGGTACTTACTAAGCGGACAGTCAGGTCTCAGAACATCTGGATGTTGCAGAGAGAAACAAAGAGTTAAACGTGCCATTCTTGCTTTTGGATGCTCTTAGAGTCTCAGAGCCGCTTCAAAAGGCTATCCCTTCTAGCACCACCCCTGCGAGTCATTCTACTTCTTATAAATCCACATGGCAATTCCCCCCCTTCTAGTAAGTTTGTCGATTTCCTGGGGTCTTCTCCTAGGTCCTCCAGTAGAGAGGCTAGAAAAAGCGTACCGTTTATTTTCTCTGTAGTCTAAATTTTAGTAGGGGAACCCTCCCCCAACAAAGAAACGGTTTTCAGGGCACCTAGCTGGGGGACTTCTCTGATTCTCCGAAGACCCAACCGCCAACCGCCCGATTCGCTGATTCGCCGAGTCGGACTCGGTTCGATGGCCTTGCCGCGGAAGATCTCCACCCACTTGCTCTTCACGTGCTGAGCGAGGCCGAGAGCTTTGGGGCCGACTTCCGAAGGAACAACCGCGACGAGCTTTTTCCGAATCCTGGGACAGAGCTGAGCTTTGGACAGCAGCAAAATGGCCAGATCAGATTTGGAGCACGGCTTCACCATAGGTGGCTTCCCACAACAACATGGAAGCTTCCCACATGGCTTGAACACCTCTGAAACATAGGTGGCCTTTTGGAAAAATCCATGGGCTTGCCTGGTAAATAGGGCATACATCATCTAAACCAGGGCCCTCTATGTTTAAGCAAACCAACCAAAAAGGACACCTATAGACTTCCCTGCTTTTTGCTTCGTTGTTCGTATGTGACTCAACAACGACCCGCTGCAATCGAGTCTTAATTATGCCTTGAGAAGTTAAGACGCTCACAGCTGATGTCTGAGTTGTGCCAAGGACAGAACGATATCTCGTGGCGATCTCTGATCATAAACCCTATCAGCCACAAGAGCCCGTAGCTGCAACGAATTCGCTGGTGGTTTGGATTGGTCGTTTGGCGGTTGAGGGGTGGTTTCCCATTTACCCTCTACAAGATCCAGAGTGTTGCCTCTTTCACAGGCTCCAAAAAAGTTGCGGGTTGGAAAAAACAAGAACTCAGCTAACACGTAATTGGCGCTTTGGATTGGTGCTTTGGATTCTGATTGGAGCCCCCGGTCTTGTAGGGGGGCTAACCACCAAACCACCAGGCTCCCAACCACTAATTTGAGGCAAGCCGAAAACTGAGCCCCTTTTCCATGGCACTTGGTAGAGGCCAAACTGATACACCAGCTATTGAAGGGGTGCATGGTGACAACGGCACCTCACCCAAACCACAACGGGATCGCCGCCACACCCAAACCAAAATCCTCCGGGCACTCTCTCGCCTGGTCCACATGCTCCTGCAGCTCCTTCCATCGAATGCTCTCAGGCACGTTGCCCAGCCACACCTCCAGGGCTGAAGCTTCCGATCGAATCAAAAGCCCATCTTTGTTTCCCTAGGTCCTCCAGTAGAGAGGTTAGAATAAGTTGGTACCCGACTTTTTCTTCTGTAGTCTATGTTAGTAGGGGAACCGACCCCCAAGAAAGGGGTGAGAAAGGGCACTACTGGGGACCTAGTGTTTTTTGCCACTCAAATGAACCCCAAACAAACAGAAAGGCAGTGAACTCAAGAAGTGAGCGGCAGAAGAAGGCAGGGCAAAAAAGAACTTCACCTTGCTTTGGCGTGTGCTTCCATGTCCCGAACCAGAACTCCGATCGACTCCGGAAGGCTCCCTCAAGAGCAAATTTGGATACTGCCGGCTCCGCAACGGCTCCCTTCCGACCAAAAAGGCTTGAACGAGAAAGAGTTGCAACCTGTACTGATACTGTGGATGGACGAAATCCATTTCGCACCACTTTGAAACCATAGGAAACCATTGTTCGTTGGTATTTACGGGGGAATCATCACTCCAGAGTTTATTGGGTGGTGCAGCTACCATTAGATTACCACTATCAACGAAGTTGGGTGCAGATGTGATCAGAGGGCAGTCCAGGCGACCGCTTCCCTGACAGCCGCCCTGGCCAATGCCCCCAGCGTTACCAACCCACGAGTCGGTCATTTCACAGGCCAAGCAATCAGGCAAGAAAGCAAGCAGGCAAGAAAGCAAGGCAAGTATCCAGCATAATGCCGAAAGCTACTGTACACTGCACTCGGGTGACAACCCATTCACAGAAAGATCCAATGTGTACAGCAAACCAGTGTGGCTCGATCAAACGTAACTTGCTTGAAGCGGCCGTGGATTGAACACCGCAGCAACGCTTCAAGGATCCCAAAAAGGAATGTCAATTGTTCAACGCGTTGAGGCAAATTACTGTGCTACCGTCTTCCTCTATTGATACATCACAAAACGGACCTGGCACCTGTGAATGGGAGAGATGGTGCTCCATCCTTAGCAGCCTCTTGGGCAGCCAACCGGCTGCGCAAGCAGACGGCCTCAATCGGTCTGGAAGCCTCTAGGCAAAATAAGACATGCGTGCTAAATGTTGACAGCACCCAAAGCGCGGGGTCGCACCATCGCCACCGATTCGTGACTTAATAAGCTGGTAATAAGGGCTAATGCCGACCATGAGTGGGACAAAACATCAACCGAAACAAAGGTCAAACCAGAAGAATTGGTTGTTCGATCCACAGCATCTTAAACATGCACACTGCTCATGACCCGCCCATGACGCTGAACATTCAAACAACGAGCCCGGCCTTCAAGTTGTCCTCAACCTTGAGCTGCTTGCCTTTGCCCTTGCCCTTGCCCTGCGCTCTCGTCGCAGGGAAGCCAACATATGCGGCATGTGAGTCAGAATCAAAACCCGGCATTAAAATGGTCTACCCAGAACCAAGTAAAGAATTACGAAGGCTGCCGCAACTACTAACCTTCATCTACCCGGGTTTTGATTGTAGCTCATGTGGAGATGGAGATGTTGGGGGCTCTGAGGCACCCCATTGCTGATCTCTGTGAGCCATTTCCGTACCAACATGTCGATCCAATCAGACAATCCTCCAAAGGATGGAATTGTCACCATGGACCTCCAAAGGAACGCGTGCTTTGAACGAGGAACACATCACTACAACCTTTATTCGCCTGCTCTTCAAATTCACTCCCGAGCCTTCATGCCCCACATGGGCGGGAACATGCTGTACATGGGCATCATACCATAGCCTCAAGCGCTGAGTTCTACGGCGTTGGACCGCTGATTCTCAGGCGGCATGTGGCGGCAACTGCAATTCGCCCAGGTAAAGACTTCATGGCCACAGATTGAATGAGGGCAGTCTTGGATACACCTAAGTTGATGATCTTGCTGGTGAATGACTTGCAAGGGTTGGGAATATCAAACAGAAAGGAAGCTAACTGATGGACACAACTGATGAGGATGAGTAAGTTGACGGGAAAAACATGTCGATGCATGGCAGTTGTGGCCAGCTTCGAGCACAATCGTGAGGTTGTAGGGGAGTACTTGTTTAACTAGTGATATCACTGAGTAGTGACTGTGTTAGGAGTATAGCCTGTTGAACATCCGCGAAGTTGAGCAAGAACAACAACCAGTAAACCGCACACCGTGAATACTTGAGCTGATCCTTATCGGCTCGTGGAGGAAGACCTTCATTCAGTCAGGAGTCCTGTGTGCCGACCTGGTAGCATGAGCTATGGTCTGTTTTGCAAAGCACCGGTCGATTGGATTGTCATAATTGTGTTCAGAAGCTGCGCACTATGGGAGGTAATTCGTTCATGTCTTTGGCTACCTTGGCTCATTGCCTCCACAATGCAATATGTGCCATATACTATGCAGTGCCATAATGAATAATGACAAAGGTAACACCTAGCAGAAATTACTGATCTAGACTAAGTACATACAAATCTCACTTCCTGAGTGGATGGGCCAAACCAAGTCCACACCTTTTTGCTTACTATTAACATGGTCCAGCCCCAAAATTGACTCAAGTTCAACTCAGGAAGTGAGAAAAATAACTCACAAAGAACGTGAATTGTTCAACCGCACGGCTTGACCCGTCCAACTCTTCTCAGCCCTGTTCGGCTCCCATCTGGCGGCCTTTTTGGCGGTCACTAGGGCTCCCGGCCCCAGCCTTTGCCCCAGCCTTTGTCCCAGCCTTTGTCCCAGCCGCCCTTGTCCCAGCCGCCCTTGTCCCAGCCCTTGCCGTCGCCACTCCAGCCCATAGCGCTCCTTGCGGATTGGATTCGTGCAAATCAACGAGGCCATTGCGTGCTCCGGCGTGCAATCCTGAACCTGCCCAACGCGCATGCCCAGAGCATCCAACACATTTTGCGCCATAGTGCGACGAGGCAAAGCACGCAAATCCGCCTCCCGTCCCAGCCTCCTGCAGAGGGGACCGGCGTGGGATGCAACTGGAATGAAGTGATTGGAATCCATGATGAATTTTTGGTTTATGGGGGACACGCCCGAAAGCAACCAGTCCCAGGACCGGTCCTGCCTCCTGAGAACCAGTCCTCTGGGACTGGTCCTGGGACCCCGGACCAGTGCTGGGACCAGTCCTGGACCCAGTCCTGAAACCAATCCCAGGACCGGTCAAGGACCGGTCGGGGCCATGACCAGTCCCAGCATCAGTCCCGCTCCAGACACCTCTTTCCTCCAGTATGTCAGTTCGAACAGGACTCTGCCAGTCCTGGTGTCGGGTCCCACTTCAAACCGCTCCAGACACCTGTTTCCTGAAGTATGTTGATTCAAACCGCTCCAGACCTGTTTCCGGACTGCCCGACTGCGACCGGTCGAGCACCCGTTTCAGGGGTTGCTAGGACCACTCCCGGGCCAACTCGACGTGACTTGGGCGCAAACCGGCCCGTGCGGTGATTGACGGACGAGCTGCCATCTTTCTGGCTTTTCCGTTAATCCTTGTGGTAGTAGAGGATCCCTGGATCTATTCTGCAAGAGAGTCTAATACGTCGATTCAAACCGCGCCAGACGCCTGTTTCCAGACTGGCACCCATGTTTCAGGACCGCTCCTGGGACCAGCCTGGGCAGGGTCCCAAGTCCCGGTGACAGTTTCGGGAGGCCAGTTTCAGGACGACCCTCGGGAGAGGCCTTGGCCTTGTTTCTAGGACCCTCCCGGGCCAACTCGAAGTGACTTGGGCGCGAACCGGCCCAAGCGGTAATTAACGGACGAGCTGCCATCTTTCTGACTTTTCCGTTAATCCTTGTGGTCGTAGAGGGTCTTATAAGTGGTCCCTGGGTTTGCGGACTGGCACCCGTGTTTCAGGACCGGTCCTTATGACTTTCCCTTAATGCGCCGAGGGTCGGCGGGCGGCAGCAGGCGGGAGCCTGGTTAATAAAAAACCAATGGCATTGAGTTGCCAAAAGGAGCTGGAGGGCTTATCTCACAGGGTTAAAGGTCGGCGGAAGATCCAGCGCATTACAAAAGCCACACCCTCCCAAGTTCACACATATTCCACATAGGGTCCAACATACAGCCTTGCTGTCCCATCCACATCCCGTGCCGATTTGCCGGAAGAAGGCGCTTCAGAATCCCTTTCTGCCAAAGCTGGCGACTGGTCCAGACATCGGGGTTTTCGGCGTTTCAAAGAGCCGAGTTGAACAAGCGTTCAACAAACGTTCGAGGCGGAGCTTCGGACATGGCTCACATCGAATGGATTTCGATCCCCTTGAAAGAAGCCTCGGGGTGACCTACAGACAGGCCCGACCAATGAATGCCAATGACATGAAAAGCACCAGCCCTAGAACCAAATCAGGTGAAGCAAACTGGAAAGCAAACTACAAAGTCAGCAGAGATTCAGCGCACTGATGCAAAGCATGCAGAAAACACATGACGTGACATCCAAGTCGCATGCGGAACGGACAGGATTTTTGCAAGGGGAGCCCTGTAAATGGTTGGCTAAAGCCTTTTCAAGAGGGTTGTTGACACAAGACAATCCTTGCAACGCTCGAACAATCAATCGCATCAAGTAAATTGGCAACCGGCTTGCACAGCCCGACACACCCGACTGCGCTCCTTTCAGGAAGTAAGCGGTTGTTCGGTTGAGCCGCTGGATATGTGCGACAGACAAGCAACGAGATTCTGCTGCAAGAGGCCCAATTGCGGTTTTACATTGGAAAACATGAAGTCTCAGCCCTGGTATCGGACTACCAAGAACCTCGATTGGAAACTGAACATTGTGACATCGTGTTTCAGGAGGAAGACATAGAGCAAATCACCATAACATGTTCAATGTTCAACCCTCAGTTGGACACTTTTTTTTGGCTTGAGAGGGATGCGAACCTGAAAAGCACAAAAAGACAACTCACAAAGCAAGGGCCCGGACTCGCCGCTGGCAGGCAGGCAAATCAAAATCATGCATATTGGCATAGTGGAAAGCTAGGTTGTGCAAACTTGCAAGTGGCACAGGCAACATGTCGGTTCCATGTTCTCTGGTTGTGTGTTGTGCGTTCTCCTTTGCAGGCGCCCCACCTGTAAGGATGTGCCTGCGCATGTGTGGGTGCGTCGGTGCATGGGGTGTGGGGTGTGGGGTGTGGGGTTCGGGGTGGAGTGTGGGTTGTGGGGTGCGGGGTGGAGTATGGGGTGTGGTTTGTGGGGTGCAGGGTGTGGAGTGGTGTGGGCGGGCTGGTGGTGCGTGCCTGCATACCTGCATGCCTGCGTAGCTGCGTGCGTGTCTGCGGGCGTGCGCGCGCGTCGTGTGTGAAGTACTTGATTTGGGCATGTTTTCTGGGTGTGGGGGCAAGTGATCTTCTTCTCAGAGCAAGCAAACTCGAGAAGGTTTGCCTCTGGAAGTGGCACTTAGAGTTACCTTGATGGTTTCAGCATCCAGGAGGAAGAGGCTCCCAGCTGGGATTCGTGATTCTCCAAGGAAGCTTCCTCAGCTGAGCGGCATAGGCACATCTTGATTGGCCTGTTTACTGAGGCAACAAACAACCACAGCCAGCCAGCCAGCCAGCCAGCCAGCCAGCCAGCCAGCCAAGCAAGCAAGCAAGCCAGCCAGCCAGCCAGCCAGCCAAGCAAGCAAGCAAGCAAGCAGGCAAGCAAGCAAGCAAGCAAGCAACCAATCCAACGAATAACCCAAGAGAACAAGGGCAGACACGCCAAAACAAACACAACAACCAACAGGGCAATCAAGCAAACAAACAAACAAACCATCAAACAAAGAAACCAAACCAACCAACCAACCAACCAACCAACCAACCAACCAACCAACCAAGCAACCAAGCAACCAAGCAACCAAGCAACCAACCAAGCAACCAAGCAACCAAGCAACCAAGCAACCAAGCAACCAAGCAACCAAGCAACCAAGCAACCAAGCAACCAAGCAACCAAGCAACCAAGCAACCAAGCAACCAAGCAACCAAGCAACCAAGCAACCAAGCAACCAAGCAACCAAGCAACCAAGCAACCAAGCAACCAAGCAACCAAGCAACCAAGCAACCAAGCAACCAAGCAACCAAGCAACCAAGCAACCAAGCAACCAAGCAACCAAGCAACCAAGCAACCAAGCAACCAAGCAACCAAGCAACCAAGCAACCAAGCAACCAAGCAACCAAGCAACCAAGCAACCAAGCAACCAAGCAACCAAGCAACCAAGCAACCAAGCAACCAAGCAACCAAGCAACCAAGCAACCAAGCAACCAAGCAACCAAGCAACCAAGCAACCAAGCAACCAAGCAACCAAGCAACCAAGCAACCAAGCAACCAAGCAACCAAGCAACCAAGCAACCAACCAACCAACCAACCAGCAAGCAGGCAGGCAGGCAGGCAGGCAAGCAAGTAACCCAACAGAGGTCCAATGAGAACAAAGTAGGGCCGGCGACTTGGGGCCTAAACTGAAACACCGCCAGCGCCCCGCTTTTTGGTCTCACGGAAGCGAAGTACTGGGCTCACTTGGCTCACTGGGCTTTTCTGGCGCCTGAAACGAGTGGGGCTGAGCGAGCCAGTTGGAGGGCCTGAAAGGGAAAGCAACCAGAAACCGGCCAATTCGAGGCCCCCGGAGATTCCGTGTGTGGCAAGGTGCCATTTTCCCATGGGACCGCGCGCAAAACTTGGGACACCTTGTGTGATGGATTGAAGGAGAGGCACCGACAACCCACCCACCTAGAACCGTGTAGCAGCGTACAAGCAGAATGTCACCACACCAAACCACCCGGGTCCCCTGAGCAGGCCGAACTTCGTGGAAGCCTAAGGCAAGCTGGCCTAGAAAACGGGACAAGTTGCCTCACTTCCCGAGTGGATTGATCAGAAAACTCTAAACTTGTTGTTTACCACTAAGGTCCTCGAGTAGAGTGGTAAGAATAAGGGTACCCTTTTTGCTGTGGTCTATTTTAGTAGGGGAACCCTCCCTCTCCCAACCAAAAAAGGGGTGAGAGGTTGGGCACATCTGGGGGACCTAGACCAACATGGTCTACCCAAAATGCTTGGAGTCCAAAGACTCAGAGACTGAGTGAGGGGCTTCCCTACCACTTCTCAGCAGGGCGTGACTGCGGACCCCTTTGTCAAGCTACTCACCTTTGCCACGGAGATATTCACGCCAGAGTGTAGCTTCCTTCAGGAGGTCCCTGAAACAACACGAAGGCTTTCGGCGCCTGTCAGCTCTTGACATTGCGGGCCTTCAAGGCGAACAATACCAGTGGTCCTTCAACTCGGTTGCTTCCAGCTGCCCTGCTAAAAGTTTAACTTTTAGTGGTTTAATGGAAAACTCATTAGTTGGCAAACAGTTAAAGTCCGAACATCCAAGCAAAATGCACCAAAGTTCATGCCGCAGGTGCTTGCTCTTGGCGGAGGCTTGCCACCAGCTAGTGTTGAAACAAGGTCGCCGGGCGTCTTGTCTACCGGGCCAGTTATGGTTGCTCAAACTAGTGTTCATCCCACAACGCGTTGCTGTATTTCGGCCCAGCCTCCCTTTGTCAGGGCTACATACCAGGGCTACCATCTTTGGTGTCCTTATGCAGGTTCGAAGATTCCGGTTGACCAAGCCACTCAACTTGTTTCCGGCAGGGACACCACCTAAGTTGTGAATAAGTGATTGGAAGCCTGAATTTTAGTAATCCCTTGGTTGCTTTCATGGCACCTGTGTGCAGCTAGATGCTTCTCTGGGAAACAACCGGATCTAGGGTGCCCGCTGCATACATGGTTGCTGCCAGCGAACAACACCTGAAGGCGGACAAACGTCAAGTTCCTGATTGTCAAAAGTTGCAATCCGGGATCTCCCCCTCCCGTCCCCACCAACCAGAATCAAATAGGAAGCCCGTTGCCTCGTTTCACGAATCCGCTGTGAAGGACCCATTTCCTCCCGCCTTGGCTTTGCCGTCCATGCCTAGCTCGCCGCCTGAAGGCTCCGGAAGGCGTGGCTCAGAGTTTTTGGGCGAAGCTTGGGGCGAGATTGTCACAGCCATGCTTGAAATGTAGGCCGTGCTTCAGGATTGAGCTTGCGGCATTTAATGTAAGCTAGGTGCAGCTGAGGCGTCAGATCTGGGGCTGGGGATTCTGAATCTCTAGTGGCTCTCGCAGCACATGTTTGTTGGGGCATGGCGTATATGAGGAATAGCGTCAGCGGCGTCAAACAGTCGCTGTGAGACAAAATCACCCTATGCGTTGAGCTGAAGCAAGCTGAATCACATTGTGATCGAATCGATGTGATCGCACGACTTGGGTGCCAAACGCTGCACAGCAACCAGAGCCGAATGAACGAGAAACAAACGCAAGGCCATGGGGGGGGCAATTATTGTGCCGATCCTGGCATGGCGTTCGAACTTGGAACAAACAACAAATACCGCAGCAGTTTGACTGGCCACCCACGCTCGTCCTAAGAACCAGGTGGGCTGAAACAACTTTATTGGTTTGTTGGCATCGGCAAACTAGAGATCCCAGATTATCAGGATGCTTCAGGGCTTCCGAGACATTGCCGTTTCTGGAACCTCCAAAAGTGGCGATCGTTTCAATGGAAACCACCTGTAAACTGCACAGGAAAACCAGTGCCCCCTGCAACTCCTGCTCTTCACAATTCTAGCGGAAGCTTCCATTTCCATTCTTTCCAGGAATCCGAACCTTTTCAAACCATCCAACAACACAGATGGGTATCAGCGATCGGTTTTTGAGAGAAGAACGATGCTTGAAAAGAATGGTTGGAATCCACCCCTAGAACAACTCTCACTTCTGATCGAGTGGATTGGTCAAAGAAAAAGTACCCAACTTCCTAACCACTAAACTGGGCTGCCCTCAGATCCCCCGCTAAAAGTTTAACTTTTAGTGGGTTCAATGGAAACTACCACTAAACACTAAAAAGAGCCACCAAGTAAAATGGTCCAAGCCCAAAACGTGCGAGTAGCTGCAACCGTGCAATCCGCTTGCTTGGCGCCCGGCTATCCACGATGCGGATCTCCTCACTGGGCGTGCCGCTCCTGGCACATTGCGCTTGGCCGACGTAAAAAAAAAAAAAAAGACGCACGGGGTGGTTGGCTTAAATCTGGAAGCTCCCGGCTGGCTGCACCTCTTCAATTGTTCAAAACAGCTAAAATGCATTTGTGATTTGTGTGTTTGCTTAAAGAAAAAAAGGCAAAAACAACACAAACAGGTCCCTCTGTCTTCGCCCAGGCAAGGCGCGTGCTCAATGGCCGGATCGAGAAGAATAGCATCGGCCCAGTTGGTGCGGGAGCCGGGCAATGCCCCCGAAAGCATTGCCCTGGGCAACGTGCCCATTCCGCAAGGGGACTCCAGGCAACCAAAGTCGATATAAGGATTTTCACCCATCTGTTCTCCGATTCGGCATTCTCAATGCGTATTGGAGATGGGCAGGAAGAACATGTTGCACTGATGAGCACACCTTCACCCCTCCTTCACCCCACCCTTCACCCCACCCTTCACCCCCCCCTTCACCCCCCCTTCACCCCCCCCTTCACCCCCCCCTTCACCCCCCCCCGTCACCCCACCCTTCACCCTTTCACCCCTTCATTGAACAAATCACTCTTTGCAACAAGGAGCTGAGTGCTTGTCATCTGTTAAGACTCCAACATTGTACGCACATATCTCAATGTCTGCTTTGCCATAGGTACCAGCTACTATGGAGGTGTGCTTATGCTCATCTCAAAGGGATTGCCCTCCCCTCTAGCTGCAAAGGAGACCGAATGAGCGACTCCATAAACCTCCCATGAATTCCTATGTCGTATCAGGTTTTAGCTGACGCGCCCCTTTTGTAGCTCCCTACCTTGACCACAGTCAGGAATCGCCCCACAGTAAGGTATGATCTGCGGAGGCCTTTTGTCACCCCTGAAAGGCTCACGGCAAACCCCTGACCCTTATAACTTGTAACATGTGTGCCATGGTCCAACCGTGCAATTGAAAGACGATCACTATCCCGCGAACGGAATGGTGCCGCAAGCCAGCTCCTTGACTATATCCGCTTGCTGATTTTGTCTGGGGTCGTGCAGGTTGCTCCTTGGCATTTTGTTGTGCCACTCACTTAACATCTAAACTGGGCTTTCAAGAAACCACATGCGGTTGGCTCGTCTTTTTTTTAGGTACCCCCTTCCGCTTGGTTTGAAAGTGAGCTCCATTTCTCGGGCGGTCACCCCCTTGTGGGTTTTAACGTGAAACCAAAGGGAAAACAACAATTTTAGGGACTCCACCACAAAAAGAGGCGCCCAGGTCTCTCAACTACTCCCCTTCGACAAACTTGAGCTACGACAGAACCGTCCCAACCCTTTCGCCTGGAACCACGCTTCTCCATGGCCCGGACAACGTCCATTCCATACCTAACTCCGCACAACGCACGTCCCATCCGCTGGATTGGCCAAACAAAGTCAAGCAAATTTGCGTTTTCGTCCTCTAGAAAATAAGAATACGTCCAGTAGTGATAGATTCCCTTTAAAACCGACAGGGAAACAGAAATCACAAACAAAAACATATTGTTAAGCAAATGGAAGAAGTCCTATCTCTCTTTATGGGCCGCAGGAAAAATGGTCCCAACAAAGTCACAAACGTCCAGGAACTCGGGGAGCGAGATAAAACACTTCACCAACGAGCGCGCCTTTGAGCGACGGTCCTTCGGAAAGCGGAGTCACGTGCCGTCTGACGTGGCGTTCAACTTGTCGTCTGACTGCATGGCAACAAACTTCTCTCATGGCTGCTGCTGTTCAAAACAGCATGCCGCTCCGATTCCATCCATTGCGATGAGGCAATGGAATGTCGAATTGTAAGCAAGCATAGACGTGAGCTTTCTAGGCATTTTAGAATCCAAAGCACATCAACATCCATACTTTTGGTGAGCAATTGCTGACCCAGGTGGTACAATTCGGTCTCAGGCCGGTCTCTGCGATTGCCAATGCTACAGCGTTTGTTATTTGGCCTGGTGCCATGTTTGATTTAAGCAAATCCAATAGGATTCACGAATGTCTGAACATACTTGGACTTCAGGGAAATCCTGAAACTCGAGAAGCGTAGTCAGAGACCGCCACATTATGTGAATTGTTTTGCCCAAGAATCATTTCTTGCAAACTGAAACAAATCCGGAGACGAAGCACACAACAGGACATCTTTGACCAATCCAGGACATGTCAGATTCAGGTTGCAGGAATGCCAGCAGCTGGACAACATACCCGAAGCTTGCGGAAACATAGCAAAGGAATTGGTTCTATCTTCCTAGCAACTAGTTAGGTGTTGCAGAGTTGGCAGCGGCTTGTTGGGTGCAGACAGGACGCATTGCGGACGCCAGATGACTCTTGCACCCGGAAGGGTGCCGCCTTTTTCAAAAGCCCGCGGGCACCGCTGGGCCTTGACTTGTGACGTCAACAATCACATGTTCCGCGGGTCTGCTTGCGGCTGTGTGTGTGTGGCAGAAGGTAGGTATTGAGTTGAAGACTACCAGGCTTTGGTTGAGTTGGCGCACCGAATGCCTTTCCCTTGGGCGAGTCTCATCTTTCCTTGCTTCAGCAGATGCAAGTTCGAAAGGACGAATGGCTTTTTTCAGTTGAACACCTTCGGGGATTCCGCACATGGTCTCTGGATCTCCTTCTTCGGAAAGCTGATGTCACCTCACAGACTAGAACCCATTGAGGCAATGCGTAATTTTACCTGAATTGCCAAACATGCGAGATCAACTTGCACCGGTTGATCAATATTTTTGGACAAAACAGTATCAAACACAGCGACAATAATAGTACTAATGACCAACCGCTTCCGCAATCGCGGCTCACGACAGCTACCACGGCAACAACAACATGATTGCCAACGTTGTATTCCAGGCCTCTGAAGGATTTGTTTGCTATCTCTGCCCGGCAAGAGTAGTTGCCAATCAGCAAAGATCATGTGGTGTTGCCTTTCTGAAGGAGGGTATTCCTTTAACAACAAACTGTCTCACTGAAGAAGGATATATGTATGATCGACATCTTGTAGCTATTCGCTGATTGAAGGAGGAACAAATCACTTCATACACAAGTTGCCTTTCGTGAGTTACTCTGTTGCTTTTGTCTCTATTCCGCGAGGCCTGACTGCGGTGCTTTAACAACTGCCCGGCCAAGACAGAGGGCCACAGCTTGCCCGACATTTCAACATGCCCTAGGCGCTCGAGTGACTTTCAGTGAAATGGCCCAGGGCACATTAGAGGTTCCTTTCAATGTGCAAGTCGTTTGGGGAAATTATACGGCTCCGTCCGATCACGGTTGCAAGATACCCGTTGTGCTCACACGGGTTTGGCTAGCGCACGAATCCTTACTGTTCTCGAGCAAGCGCAATGGCCAAATCTTTGAACCGAGTCAGCAATACATGTATATATATATATATTTATAGATAATTATGTGTATATGTATAATTATACATATAGCGGTTCATACCCTCGTTGCTCAATTCAAGCAGAATTCTTCCGGCACCTTGCTTCCGAGCAGCAGAACTCGGCCGAAGACCACGTGCTTGTTGTCCAGCCAGGGTGCCGGCGCCAGGGTGATGAAGAACTCAGCGTGTTGGGAGTGATTGATGTCAAGGCTGTCATTCTGCCATCTTGTGTAGAGAAACAGTGGCCTATCTGTGTAAGGAATCCTAAACTTAAAGCTTGTGTCCCTTCAACACAAACATGCAGGAGTGTCCAACAACTATGGGTCGTAGATTCCCGCAAGCAGGGCGTCATCATTTTGTTCGGGATCCTTATGTCGTACTCTGGGGCAGGGACTCTTGTTTAGGGCCGGTGATGCTTCCAAACACTTTGATCCATGGCAAGCGTCCAAGGTCAGGGTCCGAGCAAAGGGGTAAAATATCCAGTACCTAAAAGTGGCCCCTTGTATTAGACTAGCTTCCAGATATGCCGTTTACTACTCCAAACGAAAAACAACAACGAAACAGGTCTGTGCCCCCCCCCCCAAATCGCATTGTTTCCATCTAAGCCAGTTTGCAAAGTCCCTATGGGCAACAGGTTTAGACAACATGCCGTCATAATTCCTGTTCTGCAACAGTTCCTATAGTCAGTAAGTTTAAACACCGTGCCGACAGAGCTCCTTTTAAGTGAAAACCAGACTAACTTCTAGAACAAAAAAACGGATGCCCATGTTTTATGGGAAAGCTAGCAGGCTGAGTCCTTTGTCTCTCCCTCGGTAGTTGCAGGGGGTATCATAGCTGCTCATGAAAAGCACTGGGTTGAAAGCTTGTACAAATTGATGGATCCTTCATGGCTATGCCTGCTCTGCACCTTTAAACGGGCAGCAAGAGCCCTTGTTTCGGGGTCCCTCGTACTACACCCCATCGGTGAAAAAGGCCTATGACCGGATCACCTATGACATGGCCGCTACAGAACGACGTGACGTCTCAATGCCGTTGCGGTCAAACAGTCTTTGGACGAATCAAAACGTTACCAAAGACTGAAGCCAAAATAATTGTAGGCAAAAGAATGAATTGTAGGCAAAATAATGAGGAATTCTAGTCTTTGTATTGTAGGCAAACGAATACAGGTTGGCAAACGATACCAAAAACAGTTGTCATCCCGCCGCTGGCTGATCCAATGACACCAAGAGCTTGATTTCCCGATAGGATGACACATATCGATACATCTCGTGCAATGAGTATAGAAAATGCATGAGTCTGTGGAAGATCAACAACACAAGAAGCTGCACAAGAAATTACCTATCTGCAAATATGCTGGAATCACAAATCCCTCACTTCTGAACACACCGTTGGCCGTTGTGAAGAGTCATGACTCTAAAAAGCAGTGGCCCAAACACATGATTCTATGCGCCTCGGCGCACGGCTACGAGCAACAAGTGGCTAGTACAACCAGGTGACCCTTGTTTGAGCTGCAAGTAGCTGGCGCCAATAACGACTTTCAACTTGCAAAACAGCTGTTTACAGGCCTGGCTGCGCTCTTGAGCCAGCTCAAGGGCTTTTCACCTGTGGAATATCACCAAACCGAGGAGGCCAATGCCAGTGTTCCTTGCGGTCAGAGGAACACCACCACAGGATACGAACACCAGCTCAATTCACAAAGTCAGGTCCAGCTTTGAGTTGCTCACGTCAGAATGTGTGTGCAATTGAAACCATGCCCCCAAGCAAACCCCTTGCAGTCTCTCATCCCGATATGCTGTCATTTGCAGGTTGAAAACAAATAGATTCAAAGCCAGGGAAATAGTTATGACTCAATGACCCTACTGAAGGCAACTGGGATCAATGTGCAAACAACATGCTGCACATGGTTTGTATCGCCGAGTTCAATGTCAAAACCCGTGGGGTGGCGAACTCCGCACACGAGCACGAGCAAGGTCTTGTTGGGGCTATTTAGGCGTGTGCCGTTTTTTTTCACTTGAACCTCCAAAATGATGGTTTTCCTTTTGGCTTCCCCTTAAACCAACCCCAAAAAGGGTACCCTCAACAAACACACACACAGACACACAAACGCGTCAAACAGATACAAAAGGGAAATCAGCTGTGGGGGTTCCTCTGGGCCAAACCGAGCCATTGGCAATCCACTCTTCCGTGCCTGCGAGCCGTTGGTGTTGCGGCCGCGATTGGCCATGGATAGGAGCCCGGGCCTTGGGAAAAGGTTGCGGTTTGGAGGCACATGGCCATGGGTCAAAACCCAAATCGTACCCCGAGTGAACATCCCAATCCCCACGAAAATTGGTTCTAAGAATGGGCGGTGCACCGAAACCCCCAAAATGGTACCGTTGGTTTTGAACCATGGCGACATGAACCAGGGGTTGAAGTTGCAATCCCGAATCACCCATCCAAGCTGCCCGTCGCGCAAAGGAAATCGACAGAAACCACAAAGACGCGGCAAAGAAACGTTTGATCGTGGGACACGAGGAAATATGCGTTGAGGAACCTCGTGATGCCCATCACTTACAGGAATCCCACCCTTAGATTATGTGCATGCCTCCCTGAAATGCGTACGGCATCCCTTGAGTCAGATCTTCTTGACCCCTCAGGTCGTAACATATTGCGTAACTTGCAAACTGGCTGAGCAAGTGACGGAGTTTGATAATACATTGTCACCAGAACAAAACAGCAAACAACACGGGTCATCTGAATTGGTGAAACACAGCAATCGGAAACTAGAGGCTTCTTTCAGAAGCTCAAAATACAAGCCGGTTCTTCAAATCCTGCCCGTGGCCGAACAAACTCTGCGCTTGAAGACGTGCCTCCTGAGCGCCAAATCAAATTGAAGACAGTGGAGCATTAGGTACGCGACCATGGGACATGCGATGAACACTCCTCGAACAAGTTGCTGCAACATCGCAAGATCTAGACTTCAAACAATCGACACTCAGAAATGACCCTTCTGCGAATGTTGCAATGTTTCCAAAACCTGAAGTAAGTAAAGGTATTCCAAAGTTATATGTATATATATATATATTAAAACAAAATTCAAATGGCTTTCGCTCGTTATTCCCCCCTGATCCGTGTGCTCGCCCAACAAAAGCTTCGACGCCGCGTCCGCTCCGAGGCGCCCGGCTCCGTGTGATGCACGATACCGTGCTCCCACTCATCCCGGAAGGTCTTGCCGTAGATGCTCTCTCCTCCTGTTTCATCAGAGCACCGCTCACAGGCTGGAGAAGCTTACTTCAGGCGATCGGGTACTTGGTACGTGGTTAGTAAGCCTGGGTATGACCCACTTGGTTATAAGTCTCCGAAATGGGTTGTTTCACCAGGCTTGATAACCACTTACCTGACGTACCCTCCCCTTCAAGTAGTTTGTTGGGCGTCTGAGGCAAAATCTCGCATGATAACGACAAAACACTTCTAGCCACGCCACGGATGGGTTGGCCAATAGTGACAGACATGGGATCACCCCATAGCGACAAACATGACAGATCCAGTGCTAGGCTTTCTGTGATTGGTCTGCTTTGGCACATCGCCTCTTCAACCGTCTTCGACATGGCGACATGGCCAGGTTCATCATGGACAACCTTGACGTGCCATGGTCCGCCAGAGGAATCATCATGATTCCGTCACGGGCATTATTGTGGCCAACACCTCGAACCTGTCAACTCGTGAAGAAGAGGTGCCATTCATGCCTGTTGGAGACTGCGATGCGCTGTAACAGCTGTATGATGTCGTTACTGTGTAAGATGATTAGGGTTAGGCCCAGTTATAGAATGTATATTTCAGTGTTTGCTTCACTTTGAGTCACTGGTAACATGTAAAATGTATCCTAGGTCTACCCCAGGTAAGATAAGATAGAACAACTGACACACAAGGCCTGGTCTGCAAGGCCGACGAATGCTCATCTCGCTTCTCCACAGCATCTAGGCTCGGTTCGGCGTCAAGGTCGCACCGACAAATGTTTTGTCCACCAACATGGAACCCGACTGGGGGGGTCCCTTCAAGAGGAAGTTGATCTTTCAGGTGTCCTCCTGCAGTTGCTATGTTAGTGGGAGGGAGGGCAAGCAAAATCGATGCGATCTCATGACAAGTTCCGTGAACACTTCGCTCCTCTGCCATTGCCGTGGGTGATGTCCCCACCCTGCGCCATGAATCCAGGAATAATCCTCCGCGCTGCACACGCGCGAGGATTAGAGCACGTGTTAGAATGGCCTGGACGTCAACCACGCTGGAATATAGGGAATAGCCACCTATTTCCCATATAACAAATGAGCCACTGCCAAAATTCAAAGGACCTGTGGACTCCCTTAAAGAAAGCCACAAGATGGATGGTAAGTTTATGGGTCATTCCAGGTCTCATTCCCTGCCTCTCAGCAAGTGATTTCCCCTACGAGAGAAGAATGGACATTGAGTCCCCGGAGTTGGTTCACTGAAGAATTGTTGGACAGCCCAGCACCATACTGTGGATGGTTCCACGAAATCAGTCCGCACCACGAAATGAGCTACCATGGTTGAAATCATAACGTTTGTTGGTGACAGGGGAATCGTGCATATGTCGTCCATTCACATTGACTCAGAAAAGAAGCCTCTTTTTTGCGAACGCAATCCTCAATTTGCTTCTTCGTCCCCAGGAAAACATCAGAACATATGTCCAGTGATACTGTAGACGCCCTTTGAACCCAACTGGGGAAAATAACACATATTATTAAGCCAAGGGAAGCAATGTGGAAACTGCTTGAAATCTTCACTGACATGTGTCTCGCTGCGAGTGATTCTTCATCAGTTTGTCAATGCAACGCCATGGGTTGAAGAATGGAGGGTGCTCCTGTTGGCTTCCCACTAAACCCAACCAAAGACGGCATTCCAAGCCAAGGTTCCCCCCCAAAAAACAACAACAACAGACCCGTAGTTTTTCCGCAAGAACTCCCATGTCGCGATGGACAACCAGGAAGCATGGCACTGCGCATAGGTGGCCTTTTGCAAAAGTAGATGGGCTTCCCTGGTAAATGGGGCATAAACCCCATCTAAACCAGTGCCATCTATTTTTAACTAAACCAACCTAAAAAGGACATCTATGGCACTGCGTCGCTTCGGTCCTGTGGAAGGGCGAGCCCTTGAGGTGCCGCGGGTGGTCCGCGATGCCTGGGCCTGACGCCCAGCCGTTGTAAGGCAGGGATCCGTCGGAATGAACCGAACATCCTTGTCGCTGTTGACCCCTCGCCAAAAAGTTCTTCACTTCTTGAGGGTATAGTACGGAAAACCCAACTTGCTTTCAACCAAAAAGTTGAAGTCTCCAACCCAATAGCAGTCAAGACATGGTGCGATACTCCGATGTCGAGCTGAGTATTCTTGTTCCATGTCCCACAAGTGCTCTTCACATCACCTTCTTGAAACCAAAAAAACATCCGAGTGACCTGATGAGACCAAAACCGACACCTATGAAGCATTCTCAGCCAGAAAGGACACCCAATGGACACCCGACTCCGTCCCCTCTCCGTCTCCCCCTCACCTCCCCTCCATCTCCCCCTCCCCTCCCCTCCCCTCCCCTCCCCTCCCTCTCTACAGTTCTCGCGCCTTTCTCGCCAGTGCAAAGGGCACGAAAATTCTCCACCGCCATCGGCGCCACCTCTTGGAAGAGCTCCAGCCTCGCTTCGACGGCGGAAAAAATACTTCGGCCACTTGGCGCCTGGGCCCATTTGTTGGGCCACGCCGCTGACAGCCCGTGACTCCCACAGGCGTCCTTTTAGGGGAAATAGATGGCCCTGGTAGATGATTCAACCATCAGGTAAACCAGGGCCATCTATTTTTCCACCAAAACAACCAAAAAGGACACCTATGACTCCCCATTGAAACACCACTACTTCTGCGATCGGGTACGTCAGGTAACTGGTGAGCATGCCTGGTAAGATATAACCCACTGAAAGGAGACTTGTACCCGTGGCTGATGTGGGCTATAACCAGGCTTACTGACCACGAAGTCTTTAAGTACCCGATCGCCCCTTAAGTACTAAACAGGCATCATGTTTGCCAAGTCTCAGAGGGTGGAAGCAAAGGCCCACAATTGCATTACTACGTTGAGGAGGAGGGATACATATTTCAGAAAGAGGGTTATGAGGAATGAATCAGCAACCAATACCATTACAACCTAATGATACTCACTTCCTGAGTTGGTGGTGCAAACAAAGTCCAAGCTGATCTTTTGCCGCCTAAATTGTCTTCAAAGTCCATCAGGAAGTGAGGATCCAATGAATCAATTACGGACCAATTCTACGCAACCCCCGGCAATGTGGCCATTTTTTGGTCCAGAGCAATCACAATCTCGGCTGCAAAGCAGCAAGGTGCGCATTCTGCGCCATTTGGATTGACGCATGGCACGCGGATGGTTGCCTGAGAACTGCTAAGTTGGGAAGTTCTTAAAATGGATGATCCAATCATGTGTACCGTTAAATTGGAAGATAAACGGCAGCCATCCCTTTAATATACTTACAAAGAGACAACCAAACATGTGGTTTCCACCCATCTGAGAGAATCACTCTTCAGATGAGTTCAGTTCGGGTGGGTCTAACACTGTAAGACATGACACTTCGAGTGACCAAACTGGCCATGCTAAGAGCTCACACATGGCAAAGAAATTCAATGGCTATTCGGCTAACAGCGTGGATAGCTGAAACCGCTCCTTCACGTCCTTCGTGTCATTTCCATCTGTCTTCAGCACTTCCCCCGCCTCACCAAAGACCAAAGTTTGCCCATTTCCTTTCACGCCCACATGGCTCAAATCGGTGAACCTGGCGTGGAGCGCCGGCTTGGTCCCCGGAGCCCACGTTGGGACGTGGAACAGGGCGTACTGGTAAAAGTCATCTTCACGGTCTGTGTTCTCGGCGACTGTCACGATGACCCAGTCGCCCTGGGAACGCAAAAAAACTGGAAGGAGTGCAACTTTTTCCGGCAAAGTCCGTTGCAATTTCCTTAAACTTTGCTTCTGACATACTGCACAGGGCGAGGTCTGCCCAATGAGGATGTCACGACGCCGTGCTCACGGCGACATGTGCGGGCAGTTCTTGAGCCAAGGGGCAAAGCAGTGCCGACCACATGCAATGCCTGCAGTCAACATCTACAGCGAATGTTGGCTAGTCAAGTTGGTCTGTGCGTCTTCGCACACAGGGCAAAGGCTCCTACTGAAGGGCATTTCTCGTGCAAACAAGCTGTTCAAGTTGTTGTGTCTTTTACATTCTTTTACCTGGAGCCGAACATCCAAGGTCACTACTCCAGGTGCTTAAACCGCCGTGCGGATTTGTTGACTTCTCGAAGTTGTCGACAACGAGTTGGGGCTTGATGTGCCAAAGGCTGTGCTCATATGCTTCTGCGCCTGCCATAGCGGCCATGGCGATAGCAAGGATGACAATGCCAATCACTCTCGCATCAACTATGACAACGATTATTAGCTCTGTCATCGCCCTCTGTACCATCAGGAACATGTTTGCATAAACCTTGCTGAACAGAATCATGTCTGCAGCATAGCACTGGAAATCAGGGAAGCCGCTGTACCACATGCAACAAGAGTGATCATGATGTCCGCAAACAATGGTAGCACCAATTTTGATCTTCCTAAACGAAAGGAAAGGAACGAGAACGGAGACTACAAGCACCCATTACCCCGTCTCCGAAAGCCAAGCGAAACTTGGCCCAAGATCTCCATCGTTGTGCCCAAAATCTGCCAAGTCAGCCAAAGCTCACCTGTGGTCGCTATGGTAGCCGTGAATGGATCGTGACCCTCTTGTGGATGCCACCCGACGTGCTTGTGGTGGATGTGGTATGATGTGGTATATACAAATGTGTTGAGTCATGATTCATAAATTATACGCTACAAGCCACAATCGTGTTTCCAAGCAGGTTCATGTAATTCACCCAACACAAGCCATCAGCCGTGGCTACCTGCATCATTGTCTAAGGAGGGAAGCACTCTGTTGACAAACTGGTCTTTTGGAAACCCGGTCTTTGGAAGCACGCCCGACTTCTGATTCTATGTCCTAGACGTGCTAGACTCATCCATGGGATTGTATAATCTTCTTCAAGTAGCCAAGCTGCCCAATTCAACAACAAAGCAACACACGCTCAGTGACACACGAAAATCTGTACTGGTAGATACGGCCACTACTTCACTTGCTAACTTGGACAGGCGGAGCTCCTGTTCATGACTGCTGTGCACCCCTGCGCAAGACATGGCTTGCCTGTTGGCTGGAATCCTCTTCACTTTCGCGGCGGGACCACTAGCAAACGGGCAGGTGACTCTGCCCCATTGTTTTACCATCGAAGGCGTTCCAGTGGAAGGTGCTCCAAGAAAACAGTCCTATGTTGATACCTGGGCTGCCCTCAGATCCCCCCGCAAAAAGTTTAACTTTTAGTGGGTTAAATGGAAACTACCACTAAACACTAAAAGGCTAAGAAGCTAAGGAACCGGATGGCTGGGAGCCACCAAGATACCTTGGCAACCCGCGAAACAGTCAAACCGCCGCAATGTTAGGGGCTTGCTAAGGGCCGGGCTCAATCCGGCCCAAGAACTTGCCTCCGGCCTGCGTCCGCGGCGGCGGCTCGTGACTCAACCCCCGAAAACCCGCATGCGAGTGCGCAGCATAACATTACATTACCTCGGTTGCTCTCTGCTCCCCTGCTAAAAGTTGTTGACGTTGAGTGGTTAAATGGAAAACTCATTAGTTGGAAAAAGCTAACGTCCTAACTCCTAACATCCAAGCAAAATGCACAAAAGTTACCACGTAAGTTGGGCAGATGGCTTCATTCACTAGTCTCAAGTGCGAAACCGCCCAAGAATGGCACCCTGACAAGCAAATCCAATATATCCTTGGTGGACACGCTACTGGCCCCAGAGGACATTCCTTGTACTTATATCAGAAACCTGTTCGGCATGACATGTTGTCGAAACTGGAACAGCATGAGATACGCATAGCTCGGATGACAAGATCGTGGATTTGCGGCAGGAGCGCTGCAAAGAATCTATTAACCTCAGACTCAGCCAGGCATCGTACCTTGAAAGCGATCACAACATTGTGTTGCTTAAGACCATGCAGCCAGCTAAACAGAAAGGAGCACCAGAACTAGGCTCCAAACCGAGAATCAGCCGTGCTCCAGACGGGGGTAGGTTGATGTTGAGTCTACGCCAACGGCGCCCAAATGAGGCAAAAACACGCAGGAGGTGAGCACGAGCGTGCCGCCGAACGGGCTCCAC